TTAACAGTGAAGTCCAAAATGTCAGAAGTTGAAAAATCTGATGTTCTGTGAAGGGGGTAATTTTTGTTAGGATTACACTTTTTCCCTGGCCACCACACTCATGTAAAATTATAAAAGAGATGCCAGTCTTTTTACACATTCTGAGAAGGTAGGGTAGGAAAAGTTACTTCAAAGATAGCTTTTTTTTCCTTTCCATAGATGAACTTGCATTTTATTTTCTCTCTTGACATCTCTGATTCATCTGTATTTATGTACTTTACTATAAGAGCATATTTTGCACTTAGTTGTCCAGTGGCACACTGTAATATGACAAGCCTCTCCTGCACTGTCTACTTTGTACCCTACCAATTCAGCAGACACGAAGTCAGACAGGCAGGCACACTGATCATGAATTTAGGGAAGATGGCCATGATCAATTTGGCTGCTGCTGAGCTCTCTGAGACAATCTTTTGCATCTTCTGATGCATGAGGGGGACCGGGAGGGCAAAACCCCTCCTGCTGTAGGAGAAGATCGGGTTCGTGACCACCTGAGGAACCTGAATGCACATAAGTCCATGGGCTCTGATGAGATGCATCCCAGCGTCCTGAGGGAATTGGCCGATGTAGTCACCAAGCCCCTCTCCATGATATTTGAAAAGTCATGGCAGTCAGGTGAAGTCCCTGGTGACTGGAAAAAGGGAAACATTGTGCCCATTTTCAAAAAGGGTAGAAAGGAAGACCCTGGGAACTACCGACCTGTCACCCTCACCTCTGTGCCTGGGAAGATCATGGAAGCTAGAATCCTAGAAGCTATGCTAAGGCACATGGAGGCCAGGGAGGTGATTCGAGATAGCCAGCATGGCTTCACCAAGGGCAAGTCCTGCCTGACGAACCTAGTGGCTTTCTATGATGGAGTGACAGCATCAGTGGACAGAGGAAAACCAACAGACGTCATCTATCTGGACTTCTGCAAAGCCTTTGACACAGTCCCCCACAACATCCTGCTCTCTAAATTGGAGAGCTATGGATTTGATGGGTGGACTGTTCGGTGGATAAGGAACTGGCTGGATGGTCACATCCAGAGGGTAGTGGTCAATGGCTTGATGTC